CTAAAGCTCCTGTGGAAAGAATCATATTCCAGTGAACCCTTATGGGACGGGACTTGCCTCATGTAACAATCTGGAAGTATTTGGGCCCCAGTTCCAGTCCAGCCAGTATTCCTGGTCACATTTTGATTAGTAAACCATTAGAAACCACAAATATCAAAAATCAATAGAATTATTAAATGTTATGTGGCCATATATAAAATGCTGCATGAGCTTTAAAATTTTTCAAAAAATACTTAATGACAGGAAAAACATTTCTGGTAAATTTTTAAGCCCAATAGCCAGATACAAAACTATATACAGTCTGATCTGAGTTGGGTTTCAAAATCCATGTGTGCATGGGTATATATGTGTGAAAGTAAAGAGAAATAAAATGGAAGAAAGAAACATATAGCAATCACATCTGGGTAGTGGCTTTGTGGGTAGTTTTAATGTTTAAAAAATATTTTATAAAACTGGTGCAGCTACTCTGGAGAACAGTTTAGAGGTTCCTCAAGAAGTTACAAATAAAAAAAAAAGTTACAAATAGAACTACCATATAATTCAGCAATTTTACTGCTAGATATTTACCCAAAGGCTACAAAAATACAGATTCAAAGAGATACACCCACACCGATGTTTATAGCAGCATTATCAACAATAGCCAAACTATGGAGAGAGCCCAGATGTCTATCAACTTATTAATAGATAAAGAAAAGGTAATATATATGGATATAAGATGGAATATTACTCAGTCATCAAAAAAATTGAAATCTTGCTATTTGCAGTAACATGATTGGAGCTAAGGAATATAATGCTAAGGAAAATAAGTCAATTAGAGAAAGACAAATACCATATGATCTAACTCATGGGGAATTTAAGAAAGAAAACAGGTGAACATATGGGGAAGGGAAAAAGAAAAAAGGAGAGAGGGAAACAAGCCATAAGAGACTCACTCAATGATAGAGAACAAAATGAGGGATGATGGAGGAGGAGGGTCTGAGGGGATGGGCTAAATGAGGGATGGGGATTAAGGTCACTTGCTGTGATGAGCACTGGGTGTTGTATGTAAGTAATGAATCACTGAATTCTACTCCAGAAACCAATATTGCACTGTATATTAACTAAAATTTATATTAAAATATTTTATAAATATTCACAGTTCATATTTTAATAATTGTAAAGATTGTAATCATATTTTTAAAATATGATTTTAAAGGCCATTTCAATTCAAAACTAGTCATAATCAGTAATCATGACATAATATCATAACTTAAAGCAGATATGTTTGTGGAGAATAAACTTTATTTTGTTTTTTTAAAGCATAACATAAGTTGGATCCTGAAGAGTTGAGAGACCTTCTAAGTATATACTTCCTAAAATTTCAAATCAAAAATAATCTTTCTGAGAAGTAATCCTTTTTTAAGGATAAAAGCAGGCTTATTCTCCATGAGGAAATAATAAAAACAAATATCCCAAATGTAAAACAATAGCTGGAAAAAGAAAAAAGGAGGGTGCTCCCCATTGAGTTGTCAGGATCTTGGCAGTGCTATTTTTACAACCAAAAAAAAAATTTCTATGATGTACAGTCAAGTTTGTAGGAATGTTCTGTGGAGCTTTAAAGCCAATGTTCTGTAAAAATTACTTACTTGATCTTGTAGTCTGACTTGTAGTCTTACTTGTAATCTGAAATGCATCTTTGATGTTTAGGTCACAGGATTAATATAATTAGTAAACCTACCTTAATCTCCCTCACCTTTTTGTTTAGATACAGACACTAAATATTAGCAAAATGCATATGAACGTGGAACTCATAGCCAGGCCAACTCAAGATTTTTAATAAACAAATGTAAGAGTTATTCTTGGGTTGCATTACGGTTTCTTGTGGAGATAATGAGTAATTTTGAATGATGGTTCTGCAAGAAAATTCTTCTCTTCTTTGGCAGAGAGAATATTTTTGTAAACAAAAGCAATGAACAAGATTTGTTCAGAATGGTGAACTAACAAGGATTTTATCTGGACCTAAGTTGTTGAGAACCACCTATGTTCACATTTAGATCTGGCAGTCAATATTGACAGTCTTGCCACTGCACAAAACAGCTTGAACATAGCACAGAATAGGAATCCCATTATTTTCAAGTAGAACAGATGCAGTTTATTTTCAGTGTTTTGTCCCTGGTCATTTTACCATTTTGCAGAGAGTCTCCTTGGATAATCATTAGTTGATGAATGAATTCTAGTCCAGAAGCCGTGTTTTAAGTAGGTTGCTTAGTGCTCAGTCTTCACAAATAATGACTAAATTTCTGGGCCATTCCTCAGAAGTGATGCAAACAATGGTACTAATTATGCTGCTACTTAAAACTGTATTGAACCTTTATTTATAACATTATGTCTACATCACAATGCATAGGGACTGGCTTGAGCATGCATTTTAGAAACAGTCCTCCTCCCTCCCCTTGGAAGCAGAAGGGGGCATTTCCACAAGCCCAAGAGTAGTAGTGGCTGGCAGCCTTCAGTGAAAGACGTGCCAGCAGAGATGACTTCTCTCGAGGACCAATATCTCAACTCTGTCTCGTTTAGCTTGCTAGGTTAAAGAATAGCTGGAGATTCCATGGTCTTGCAGACTATGAAATAATATTCTACCAAGATATGAGGTTATATATATAAAACTATGTGACTATTTTTGCAGTCCTATTTAGAATATCTCAACTACAATAACATCTCAATAAAAGATCTATTTCATAGCCTGCCCTGATTTTTATGGTAATATTTATTAGCAATTGTACATTCATTTTGGTCTTGGGAATGATAAACAGAAAATTTATAGGAGGAAAAATTTGAATAGAGATAGTTCTATTAATTTTTTTAATTGAGAAAAATGGATCTTAATTTATTTTAACTGACAATATCCTGGTCCAGCTTTGAAAGCATCATTTAAACTGTAAAAGTTTTGAATTAAAGAACACAAGAAAAAAAAAAAAAAGCACACAAGAGAGGAGAGAGGGATAGAAGTGGCTCAACAGTCACTCTCCACGACCTTATCTTTAGTGACCCACCTTTGTGTGTCCGCAATCCCTGAAAACCAAAGCAGGACAATAGACTCACAACAGACTAAAAATAGAGCTTTCATTCCTCGAAAGTGTAAAAATATTACAAACTTTGGGACACCTGAGTGGCTAGTCAGTTCAGCATCCAACTCTTGGTTTTGACTTAGGTCATGATCTCCAGGTGGTGAAATTGAGCCCCGCATGGGGTTCTGTGCTGTATGGGGAGTCTGCTTGAAATTCTTTCTCTCTCCCTCTCAAATAAATAAATAAATCTTTTTAAAAAAACATTACAAAACTCCCAATAGTGATAGAAATTGGTATTATTTGTCTCTTTGCAGGATACATAATGCATCCCTAAACATCAAAATATAGGGCAAATACATAGAGACAAAAAAATGCTTTTTTAAATCTTTTTAAAAAAGATTATTTATTTGTTTGAAAGAAAGAGAGACCGAGACAGCAGAGCAAGAGAGAGAGAGAGCATGAGCTGGGGTGAGTGGCAGAGGGAGAGGAAGAAGCAGGTTCCCCACTGAGCAGGGAGCCCAACATGGGGTTCAATACCAGGACCCTGAGATCATGACCCAAGCTGAAGGCAGACACTTAACTGACTGAACCACCCAGGTGCCGCCAAAAAAACTTTTCTGAAATAATTTTGTATCTCAATTCACTTAGGTTACTTGAGGTGGCCTTGACATGAAACGAAGCAATTTGTTTTAATCTTTTTTTTTTAAGATTTCATTTATTTATTTATTTATTCATGAGAGGCAGAGAGAGAGAGAGAGAGGCGCAGAGACAACAGGCAGAAGGAGAAGCAGGCTCCATGCAGGGAGCCTGATGCAGGACTCGATCCTGGGACTCCAGGATCATGCCCCAAGCCGAAGGCAGGCGCCAAACTACTGAGCCACCCAGGGATCCCCAGCAATTTGTTTTAATCTTAGGAGGAGAAGCTGACTAGGAAACAAGCTGCCCAGGATCCAGCAGGAAATGTGACAGTGTTCATTGACTGTGTTAAAATATTTATTGAGTGAAGATTGGACATCTGAAGCCTTTGTGCTTCAGCAGAGGGAGCTGCTACAAGCCATATCATTCACTCACAGGGACTCTAGGAAAGTCCCTGAGCCTCAGATCTCTGGAGTGTTTTCATTATTAATCCTCAATCCTTAATCTTAAAGATTTTTCCATTGCTACCTTAGTACACTTCAGCTATCAGTCTCAAACTTCAATAATGTATTTCTAGCATTGTGTACATTTAAAAAAATGTTTCCTCATAATTTAATACATACTTGACAGACTTAGTTCAAAAATACTTGCTTATAACTAAAGCTAAATGCCTGATCATGGCTATTTACATCTGCTATAATCATTATGACACTAGTATCCCTTTCCTATTACTAATTATTTAAAATAATGACAAAATGCAATAAAACAGTCCAAGTAGTTTTATGCAAAAAAAAAAAAAAAAAAGAAAAGAAAAGAAAAGAAAAGAAAAGAAAAGAAAGCAGCTTAATGTAAAGTAGTATGTTGACTGGCCAGTACATCACCGTGAGACACCTCTGAATGTATATTCATCAGCTGATAAGTGCAGAGTCTGCAAATTGAGGTCATCATTATGGAGGACATAAAGTACAGACTGTTTTAAAGTCATGTAGGTTATAAGTCAAGGTGTTACCTTTATTCTTTTACCTCATCCTTCAACACTTTTTCTGAAAAAAAAATTAATATCAATTAGAATACTATGGAGAATGAAAAATCTTTCCATATAAATTTATCTCTATTAATAGAAAGTATAAAAATACATACACACACACACACACACACACAGTGTTCATTGCACCAAGAAGGGTTATTTCCTACAAATCAGATTGTAGCAAAGTGTATACATGGTATTGCCAAGATGAATACTTTCCTCAAATTATTTCTCCCAAGACGTAATGAGAGATACTACCAAGCAAAATTACTTATTTTAATCTTTTTCAGCTTAAAAGAAAACCAAAGAACCTTCATTTATCATTGGAAACTCTAAACCAAAGCTCACAGTAAGTGCCTTATGTTAATTATTTTGCTTAATTTAGATTTGCTTTATTTCACTGTGTTAAGAAACATGCTGCATTTCTCAATGGTATTTTGGGTGGCACAATTAAATGGGACCATTAATTCAGAGTGCAAAACTGACCCACAAATTGCAGGATATTTATTGTCCTTGATCTCTGGACACTAAATGCCAGTGGAACCCTCCCCCGCTTCCCCCACCCAGTCATTGTGACAAGTAAAATAGTCTTTCCCTCAAAGCATCCACAAATGCCCCCTAATTCCAAAGACCCACCCAGGTTAGGAACCACAGTTGAGACTATACACTTAACTTTTACAAATGTCAGCTAAAGTTGAAGGGGAAAAACATGGAACTGGTGATAGATGAAGTAGACAGTAATAAGATTAATAACTACTAATTAATGGATCCTTTCTATATGCCAGAGCTTATAACAGACCTGTAAGGAGAGGAAGAAACAAAACTTAAACAACCAATCCCAGTCACAGAGGTGTCAAGGTGATACCAGAATTTGAATTCATTATTATCTTACTCCGTATCTTATGCTCTTGTTCATCAAACTAGCTATCTTACTGTTTTAAGTTAATTAAGTCAACTGACCTTCAGACAGCTCTAGGACTTTGACCAAAAACCAGATTTTGTGCAGTTAATACATTCATTTATACGTATACATAGTATGCCTTCTGCAGAGCTCAGCCTGAGCCATAGACTGGTTTTTAATAATTATGTAGAGTTCATACAGTTTGTAGATAGATATAGATGACAATACCTGTAAGAATTCTTATGAAATCCTCAAAATTTGTATTGAGACTAGTTGAATTCACAGTCTATAAAGTAACGAGAGTATAACCAAGAAGTCTCTGGGTCTTTCTAGCCTGTGGATTTGTCTATCACTGGCTCATTGTCTCCACTTGCTCAGATAGAAATTCCTGTTTCCAGAAATGTTCCCCTCAGGCATGGGAAGGCATTCCTAGAAGCTTGCTCAGATATGCCCAGGAACACCTGTTCTCCACAAGCTGGTCTCCAGCCTCTGTCATGAAAGCCCCAGCTGGGTGTACCTCATCCATTGCTACTGAAGCCTTCAAGGAGGGGGCTAACATCTCTGCCAAGAGAGTTATTTCCTGGCACTTCCAGGCTGACCATTTTGACAGCTTAGAACCATACTGAATTTCCCACAGAGGTAGGGAGGATGTTTTTCTTCCCAACTCTGGGTCACATTTTCCTGAACCATAAAGTGACTCTGCTTGAGCCCACCATCTACAGAATTTCTCATGAAGCTCCTTTAGTTTTGAGCTCACCCATCTTTATACTGGTGCTCAAATTAAAACGGAGCAAATACTATTATGGCAGTTATGCTTTCCATTGTCCTTGTCTCTAAAGAAGAAAAAAAGTAAACCTCCTAATTTTGGTATCTAATTTAATATGCCAACTTAACTAGGCTAAGGTGCCTAGGTGTTGAGTCAAAAACCAGACTGTGAAGGTACTTTTTAGATGTTATTAACATTTAAATCAGCAGACTTTGATTAAAACAGATTATTCTCCATAATGTGGGTGGACCTCACCCAATCGGTTGAAGGCCTTAGGAAAAAGACTGGGATCCCCAAAAAGGAAAGAATTCTGCCTCCAAACTTCCTTTGGAATTAAGAATGCAACATCAACTCCTGTGTGAATTTACAGCTTACTGGCCAGCTCTGCAAATTTTAGCCTTGCCAGCCCTGGTAATCACATGAGCCAATTTCTTAGAATAAATCTATCTATATCTAGACCTAAATATAAAGAGTATATAGGTATAGATATAGATTTATAGATATAGGATATAGAGAGAATAATAGAATTATAGAATGTATATATATATGTGTATATATATATATATATATATATATTATGTACATATATATTCCCTGTAATCTCTCCTGTATATTTCTTATTGGTTCTGTTTCTCAGGAGAACCCAGATTAATACACTTGTCCCATCCTCTTTCAGACAATCCAAAAGTACTCAATTATAGCAACTCTAGACAGATATTCAGAGGCATCACCTGCTTGCAAGGTCAATAACCAGACATTGATCGATTACTATTTTGAGATCCTCTGGAACACCATTTTATATTGCAGTTAGTGATTTATAGAAGATACAGGTGGATTAAAATATCAGTCTCAGTTTCTCTCACTTAGGACTCCAAACAAGTGTTGCCAAGGGAATACTCACCGTGCTAGTCTTGTCTCATGTTCTTTCCCAAGATAGTTGATACCAGGATGTCTGTTTCTTCAACAACATTCATACCACAACAATTTATATTTCTACCATTACTACTATAATTAGCTAACATCTATTGCCATTTCTTCTTTAACCCAAATATCAGTTGGGTGATATTCACTCTCTGAGATAAAATTGGCTTGAATCTACAGTCCATACCTCATGAAAATCCAAATTTTTGTAGATTTTTAGGTGAAAAGGAAAGTCAATGCAGGATCTGGGTCCTGTTGCCTTTCTTCCATGGTATGTCCTCTTAGACTTACAACTCAACCTTTTTCTCTATCTCTACCTAATACAACCACACTAAATATTTGAGAATATATAAACAATGCTGATAATTTTTAAGGATTTTTAGGGTTGCTTATGTCACATATCTCAGTAGTACTATCAACCTGAAAGTACATGTTAATGTAATGGATAATATTTGAAATAGTAATTGAAGTTCCATCCCATGTTTTCTTTTATCATTATCTTTCCTCCCTCTACTCAGGCAAACTATAACATCTTTCATTTACACTTAAGAGGTCAGATATAAGCTAGAACCAAAAAGCCCTTGAGAAGCAGAACGTTGAGCTGAGAGCCATAAACCTGGTGGAAAAGAGTTTCTGAATTCCAAAAATTTAGCTTTCATTATTAAGAATCAAAGCCAGAAGGAAGAAGACATCAAATTTATCCTCAAACAATAAACAGGGAGAAGAAAGATGAAGAGCCCATTTCCAGCCACACAAGAAGAGGATAAAAGACTTTTCTTGGCTAGAAGAAAGGACTTCAAAGAAGAGAGGGAGTTTCTGAGTGTCTCTGGCCCCTGGCCCTACCCCTGACCTCGGCTGAGTCCAGGTAGGAAAGGCAACTAGAAATCCAAAGCAGAAAGGGACCCAGGCCTTCCTTCTTAGAGCCTAGCCTGGGATGGCTGTGAGTCTCTGCATTCATCCTGGCAGCAGGAAAATCTGAGAGATAAGCCTAGACATCTGGTCCAAGGGCAACCTCATGCATCCTCAGGGTGATATGGGAACAGCAGAAGAAAGTTACTATGGCCCTGACAGGGGCATGGGGACGGTACCCAGGTCAATGGACATGGAGGGAACCAGGATTCATATATGCTCTAGTGAGGAGGACCCAGAATGACCTGCAATGACAGATAATCTGGAGGGTTATCAGGAAGATGGTTTTTCTTTCAGCACACGGAGTAGGACACACACCTAGAGACTGGTGGGATAAGTTGCAGCTCAGCAGCTGCCAGAGATGTACATAGGATGACTGAATACCAAGCTCTGTCTTCCCCTGATCTGGATAATAGTTAAATTCCCTTCTTTCTGGGACTCATGTCACCTCCTGGGCAGAAGGGAGGAAACGGTTGAGGGAGAATGAGAATGAGGGAGAAAACAGCCATAATCCACAGAATTTCAAACCCTGCGGATCGAAGCTAACTTTGAATCAAGCTTATTCTTGTCACTAACCATTAGAAAGGGTAACTCAAAATTTAGTTTATTATAGAGAAATGAGGAAAGATACAATTTTGCATAACTGTTCAATATATAGGGAAGTTCTATAAATTTTTCATTTAAAATAGGTCATTCCTGCTGTTGAAATGCTGTTGCACTGAACATGGAAAATTTCTCACTGGCTCTTCACTCAGTCTTCCTCCCAGGTTTTCTCTACTACCATGCACTTCTCTATGCCTGTTCTGCCAAGATTGTTTTGAGAACTCCAAACTCTGTTTCTGTGACCTGCAAAGCAAGTCAGCACTCCCCAGTTCTTACTTTTACCACGTACCAACCAGTTAAGTCTTCAGCAACTTGAAGCACCTTTCCATTGAACAGAATCTGACCTTAGAAGTCACTTCAGAGTAGGTATAGCATCTTTCTCCTTTTACAACTATGTACCAGTTGCGTTTTGTACTTCACCTTATGATAATACAAATAAGACTGATAGAGGCTCAGAAAGAAAATGAAAAGAGGCACAGATCAGAAGTTGTGCAGGCAGTACTCAGACCCCAGTCTCTGTAACCCAAAATCATATACTAATAGACACTGTCTTGCAAAAATTCCTAGTCTTTGCTTGCATGTTTGCTTGATGTTCTTGAAAGTTATGTCTTGATCATTTCTTTTCTTTTGAGAGCTTGGATTCCTTCCAGTCTACTCCTGATTTACTGGTTAATAAAATGGCTGATGGCTGATTGGCTCTGTGTCTCCAACTCAAGAGCTCATTATCTGCCTTCTCACTTTGGCAACTTGTTCAATAGTACAATCAGCCTCACTGCCTTCTGAGGCCTGAGGGAATCTTTTAAATCCCCTTTGATGAGAATAGTCATTTCCTGCCCTGAGTTTCAACTGAAATTTGATCACGAACATTTCCTGTACATCTCTCGGGAAGCAGTAGCTAATGGGTGGTACTATTGCTCAATCCTTTTATGTCCCTCTGTGGACTACCAGGGTCACCCAGAGCAGTGTTCCTGCCACCTCCTTTGGGGAAAATGACTCCAAGGGGGAGTTGATTTACACTAGTTCCCAACCAATGTTCTCACAAAATGGAGTGGGAGAAAGAGAGTTATGTAAACAGGTGGAACCACACAAAATACTTTGTCCTAGACTGAAAACTTATGTGGTTGAAAATGCCTAACAGCTCATAAAAAGTTGATACTTCAGATATTTTCTTATTTCTAAGAAGACTGAAGAAAAGAACGCATCGCATTTAACCTTGGAAAACCAATTATCATTATAAATTTTATGTTTTA